CAATGTTCCATTTGTTAACACTGTAAACTGTAAAAACGTCTTTTTTTTCTTCGTAAATTGTGAAAAGCTCTTTATATTCCGTAAAACCGTACCAGCTAACCCCCTTGCCTCCCCTCATCAATGCTGGGAATGTCATTGCATGAGCAAACTGGGGATGTCAGTGAGCAAACAAGGGAACAAACTGAGGATGCCAGTGAGCATAATGGAGATGCCACTGAGCAAACTGGGGATGCCACTGAGCAAACTGGGGTTGTCAGTGAGCAACTGGGGATGTCAGTGAGCAAACTGAGGTTGTCAGTGAGCAAACTGGGGTTGTCAGTGAGCAACTGGGGATGTCAGTGAGCAAACAAGGGAACAAACTGAGGATGCCAGTGAGCATAATGGAGATGCCACTGAGCAAACTGGGGTTGTCAGTGAGCAACTGGGGATGTCACTGAGCAAACAAGGGAACAAACTGAGGATGTCACTGAGCAAACCGGGGATGTCACTGAACAAACTGAGGATGTCACTGAGCAAACTGGGGATGCCACTGAGTTAACTGGGGTTGCCACTGAGCAAACTGGGGATGCCACTGAGCAAACTGGGGATGCCACTGAGCAAACTGGGGATGCCACTGAGCAAACTGGGGATGCCACTGAGCAAACTGAGGATGTCACTGAGCAAACTGGGGATGCCACTGAGCAAACTGGGGATGCCACTGAGCAAACTGGGGATGCCACTGAGCAAACTGGGGATGTCACTGAGCAAACTGGGGATGCCAATGAGCAAACTGGGGATGCCACTGAGCAAACTGGGGATGTCACTGAGCAAACTGGGGATGTCACTGAGCAAACTGAGGATACCACAGAGCAAACTTGGGATGTCACAGAGCAAACTGGCGATGTCACTGAGTAAACTGGGGATGTCACTGAGCAAACTGGGGATGTCACTGAGCAAACTGGGGATGCCACTGAGCAAACTGGGGATGCCACTGAGCAAACTGGGGATGTAACTGAGCAAACTGGGGATGCCAATGAGCAAACTGGGGATGCCACTGAGCAAACTGGGGATGCCAATGAGCAAACTGGGGATGCGACTGAGCAAACTGGGGATGTCACTGAGCAAACTGGGGATGTCACCGAGCAAACTGGGGATGTCACTGAGCAAACTGGGGATGCCAATGAGCAAACTGGGGATGCCACTGAGCAAACTGGGGATGTCACTGAGCAAACTGAGGATGCCACAGAGCAAACTTGGGATGTCACAGAGCAAACTGGGGATGTCACCGAG